CCCCAAAACCCCAAAACCCCAAAACCCCAAAACCCCGAAATAATTAAATGACCAAAAATTAAGGTCATGAAAAAATGAATATAAGAAGATTTAAGTTTAACTTTTAGTTAAATTATATATTTGATGATTGGTTTTCACCACCATTCTATAAATAAATATTCGATCACCGCAATCATAATTTTAAGGATTTCTTTTTTGGTTGGAGCGCATTCAGCTTTTTTATTTAGAGAACTTTTCAAAGCCAACTCCTTTTTTCTTGAACTTTCTGAGAACAGGATCAATATTTTAGTAAGCTTCTTTGATCTGTTCTCTAGTTTTAGCTCCAGTAAATACTATTTTACCACTTGCGAAAATAAGCATTACTAGTTTGGGAGATTGCATTCTGTATATGAGGCCAGGAAAAAGTTCAGGCTCATAAGTACTGAACTTATCATGTTCGTGACTAATACTTTCAAGACTAATTGGGAAACCACAATCATGAGAAGCTACCACGTTTTAGATCTTGAATTCATGCAATTTTACATCAAAGCCTATTTTCTTGACTGCTTTGGCATACATTTTGCAAGCATTTTTACTGATTTCCTCAGACTTAGCACCAGTGCATACCATTTTACCTGATTAAAAGATCAGTGCTGTTGTCTTTGGCTCCCTTATACGCATAATTGCAGCTGCAAATCTTTTTGGATTGTACTCACAGTTACGTGCATTAATTGCTATTTTTCTTAAATCGAGTTTGCAACCAAAATTGCAAGTAGCAACAATATTTTGTAAGGTTGGGTCCTTTTACTAAGCTGATAAATTTATTTGAGTAGCTGGCTTTGCTGCACCTTATTACTAATTGGGTACTTATACTTATATTTGTTGCCTTTGATGTGGATTTGAAAGTGGTGATTATCCAAGTACAATGTGCCTTGGTCTTATAAAACTATTTTGATTCAAGGGATTTTAAGTGAAATTTGCAAGATCCCCTTAACTAACTTGAGTTTAACTCTGAGTTGACATCTATGATGAATTCATAGTCTTCGTATTCTGGGTATTGGCATTATGTGCATTTTAAGAAACAGAATAATAACTGGTGTGCTTGGTAGTTGACTAGGAAATAGAGGGATATTGTGTAGGCTCCTATTTTACTAAGTTGCTATTTACTTAGGATAGAGCGGGACTAGATTAAGTCTGCATTTACTACAGTGAATTTGTCGAGTTTAGATGGTGATGAGCATTATTTGCATTATAAAAGTTTTAATTATGAGGTTCAATTTTAGGTTCAAAATGTGGAATTTATGAAGTACGAAAGGGGCTCTGCTCTTAACCAAATGCGGCTACTCTAATCCTGGGCTAGGGAGGAGGCATTAACTATTAATCAATAGCACGGTTACCTAAATTATATCCTCCTTCCTCATTTTTAATATTCCCCATTTAGGAGTTAGCATAATTAGCTCGTTAATTCCCATTATTTATTGCATAACCATTGCTTATACTACTGGAAGAATTAAATAATCAAGAGCTCTAACCATGAACTATATTAGAGTTTTAGCCATTGCTAATGCCATTTCCATTATAATTATTAGTGGCAGTATTATTGGAATTCATATTAGCTATAGAACTGGCTTATAGAGCAGTAGACCCCGGATGTTGCATCATTGTTTGAGCCTGTGGCATCATTATAGATTAAGAATTCTATTATTATTTCAAACTCTATGTTTGCATCACTTATTGTAACTCTTTTTCGATCTCTTTAGAGAGAGCAGCAACAGTGTCGACAGCCATTTTTGAAGAAATACCTAAGTTGTTGTAGTTGAAAATTGTAGTTAAAGTGGAGGGATGATATATAAAGATATATTAATTATTCACACCAATCGACTTAAGTACACCAAAGTTCTAAAAATTTACCACCGAACATATAAATGTTTATATTATTGATTAAGCGTCTAATTATGTGCTTCACTTTTTGTAAATATCTAATCCTACTCAATTTTGTAGTCATGGGGTTTTGGGGTTTTGGGGTTTTGGGG